CTCCCTAGATGCATTACATTCACTTTCCACTCCTAATCCTATGTCACCTGGACACCAAACAAAAACCCAAACTGGACCAAGACTTCAAAGAAAATAAGGAAACCCAGTCAAATAACATAAAGAAATCCAAACAATGAAAAGTACAATTACATAAAGGCAATCCAGGAGAACAAAAATATGATAACTTATTTCCTAATTCCAATGGGACCCATGATATGCATTCATCTCTTCTTGAAGGCCCTTTTTTGGATGGGTTCTAGAGTGATGCATGGATCCATTTTGATCCATCCCTTCCCAGATGACCTATGACCTACGTCATCAACACCCCAATATATACCATTATATTGCAGCTATCATTCAATTCATCATTCTTTAGTTTGAATGATAACCACGCGACTTCCCTTTGTCATAGGTCCCTTCTGCTGAAAGCATACATTGCATGGCTCACATTGCGTGCAAATAATGTTGCTATCTGTGTCCATCACCAGAGAGTACTCATCTGATGGATTAACAATGTGAACGTTGATAGACCGAGGAAGCCATGCAAGATGGACAGGGATACCTAGCCTGAGTGGGTGTCGGATTGATCGACGGCTAGCATGACTAAACGCACCTTAGACTTGTTCACGGCTAATGTGGCGAGCACATCCGAATCCAGATTGGGGTTGTACGAGGCTGACCCGGGTGAGTTTATATGGATCAACTTCACCCATACCGGTGCAGCTGTACAACTGAGGAAGAGAGAGATTGGGATTGTACGAAAGTGATCCAGGTGAGTCTATATGGATCAACTTCAACCTTACCGGGGCAGCAGATGTACAGCTGAGGAAGAGAAAGATTAGTATGAGAAAAAAAAATCTGGAATTGGAGGCCATGGTGAATAAGAAGATAAGTGAAGGTTAGAGGGCTTGAGATGGTCTAACTAGAGACCATGGAAGTATTTATAATATTCTCCACCCACCACCCCAATAATTAGCCCACCAAAAAATAAAAATTTTCATTTAAAAGGTCATCAAATGCTTGTTTTTTTTTCTAAAAAAAAAAAAAAAAACAAAGGAGAAATA